GTATTCATTGTATAAGAAGATATTACTACCAGTGAGATAAATATACAGAATGTGTTCTAGATTCTTTGCAGTTCCTTGACATTGGGTAAATTTATGTCATTATTTAGGACAGAAACACTGGGACATTTCATGCTGTAAAAACAACAGAGGAAATGAAATTATAGGATATCAGAAATGGTCCGGGCTGCTGTTTTCACCTAGGGTTTCTTTGGAAATCTACTAAATAAAAAGCTTTGGTCTACTGCCAAAAGGTGGCATTTGGGAACAGAAAACTGATTCAACCTTTCCCTTTCTGAAGTACAAATATGCCCAGTGTTTTCCTGTCCCAGTTTCCTTCTCCTTTCTCTGAGATCAGTGTTATCGGACACTATAAATTTCCCATGTAGTAGGTCACCGAATAAACAGAGGTGTATGATAACAAACAGTTGGATGTAGATGTCTTCCTGTCTAACTGTTTTGGCCAGAAAAGATGGGTAATTTCTCCTGTGAGATGGTTTAGGGAAAAATTCTAACTTAGAGTTGTCCAGAACCTGATCCCACCCAGATTGCTTCCAGCACCCCACCACTACAAAGAACGACTTGCTGAACATCCTCATACATGACCCTTTATGGACCCGCATAAAAATCTTTTTGGGATATACACCCAAAGTAGAACACTGAATCATCAGGTATGCATATATTTAATCTGACCAAGCTAGATGACACATATAGCTGTGTACCGTAATGCAGTATATTTGCATTATATAAAATATTCTGGAATCCTACATTTCCTCCTAATACTTGTCAGTATCCAATGTTCTAATTTTTACCACTCTAATAGATATAAAGTGAAAAATCATTTTTATTTGCATTTTTCTGATCGCAATATGAGTATCTCATTATGCTGGTTAGCTTTAAGAGTTTCCTCTCTGTAAATTGCCTGTTCATAAGCTTTGCCAATTTTCACTGGGGTTGTTTTTTCTTGCTGACTTGCAGGAATTCCTGGTATATTCTCTTATTGGATGTTGCAAAATATCTTCTCCCAATAAGTCAGCTGTTAACTATCCATGGTTAACAGGAATTCATACTGTACAAATTCTTAATTTTTATGTAATCAAATTTATGTAATCAAATTTATCAGCATTTTGTCTTATGGCTTGGGGCTTTGATATTTTTCAGAAGTCATTGCCATTCTTGAATGACAAAGATAGCCTCATACATTTTCATCTAATACTCTAATAATTTGATTTTTCATATTTAGTCTTTAATCCACTTCCACGTGGATTTACCTCTGTATGTTTTTCACCGTATAGTGAATATTTTCTACTCAACAATCCATGTTTTCTTCATTGACCTCGATGCCATCTGAATCTTATCCTAAATAATAATACAAATCTGTCTCTAATTTCTCTATTTTGTTTCAATGACCTATTTGGCTGTTCTTTTCAAAAACACTATTTTTATTACTAATGCTTTGACAATGTCTTTATATCTAGGGCTACTCCCCTTCTTTATTACTCCTGTACAAGTTTAGCTTAGATATTCATGGGCTTTTATTCTTATTTATACATATTAGAATAGGCTTATTACTAAGTTCTTCGGAAAATTATTTGTAATTTGCATTGGGATTACATTGAATATGTGAATTAATTAGAATAGACTCTTCATATATTAAGATCTTCCACCCAAGGGTATGGAATGTGTTTCCATTTAAATTAAATCACTCTATGTTCTTGATTAGACTTTTAATTTTTTTCCAAAGACTGTTCTATACTTACACTAACTCATGTAATAGTCAAAACGACCCTATAATCTTTTATTATGATTATTTTCCAAATGAGGAAACTGAGCCCAGAGAAATAAGTAATTGCCCAAGAACTCATAGCAAGTAAGTAGCAGAGTCTACATTCAACGACTTTATAGTCTATACTCTTAACCACTGTACTATCTCTCAATTTACAGGTAGTTACTTTAGTTTGGCTGCTACTGTGAATGGTATCTTCTTTGTATTATTATTTATTTATTATCTGGTGTTTTATTTTTATCATATTTTCTAATTTGTTGCTGCACATGTAGAGAAATGTAGTTGGTTTTTAAAAATTTGAACCTGAGTGTAGTTAACATATCGTGTTATATTTGTTTCAGGGGTACAATACAGTGATTCAACAATTCCATACATCATCCAGTGCTCTTTTGTTTTTTATTTTAATTCCAGAAATGTAGTTGATTTTTTAAAGTTTATATTTGCATCCAGTGAAGTTGCTGTATGTACGGTATATGGTATATGGTATTTTGAAATATCGACTGTCAATAATGACAATTTTGTCTTTTCCTTTCCAATTTTTAAGTCCCTCATTTCCTTTTCTTGCCTTATAGCATTGGCCAAGACTTCCAGTAAGTGGTAAACTTCCTATAGTAATGATCATGGGCAAAGAATGTCTCTTTAAAAAAGCAATGTTATAGATTGTCTCTCAAAAAGAAAACCCAGAAAAAGGTTTTAATTTTATCTTGGCTATAGTATATGCAGCACATCATAGAACTGTTTCACAAAAGTATAGGTTAGAAATTGTGTCTGGTGGTCAAGAATCTGTCCTAAACAGACAGGCCCTGTGCGTATCTGTGCCACAGAAATTACTCTTCCACAGGAGACAGCCCTTCCAGGGGACACATAGCTCAGTTGTAATAAACTTGACTTCATTCTGACTTCAAGCTCATTAAATTCCATCCTAAAGCCCTATAGCAGCAACACAGCTCTGCACCTGTCACTTGCTTCATATATTCTGCTAGATGGAATTGTTTTTGACAACACATTGGTCTCCATCCCCATGGGGGAATTCACAGACAGCAGCATTGGAAGGAGCCTTATGGATCAACTACTGTTCTCATTTTACACATATCTAAAAGTCCCTATAGTGCGTGCTTCATCACCCTTGAGCCGATGATCCACTTTTGGGGGACTGATGCTAACAACTGAGAGAGCTTGAATCAGACCAGGGGCTAACACAGCTTTCTCCTAATTGGCTTCATCACTCCATCTTCAGTAAAGGTTGTCAGATGTTCATGGCAGCATCTCAAGACTTACAGTGACCTCATCCATCCTGACTTCAATGGCACCCAGAGGAGAGAAAGAGAAAGCATCTACTCTTCCTTCTTGTATCCCCAAAGGCTCTTCCCTATTCTAGATTGGCGTATCTGCACAAGAGTGGGCACTGGTAGCTCTATTATGTAGCCTTGGGGCTTGAGTACAGTCAGACCCATCAGAGGCTCTGAGTAGGTAACCAAACACAACCACTCCCTTTTACACATACCCAGGGTGACTAACACTTGTGGCAGAAATGAGTGAACTGAAAAGCCCCACAGGAGCCTCAAAGCCAGTACATCCAAAATGGAACTTCTCACTGTCTCCTCCAGACTCACTGCCTTCTTACAGACCCCTGCCCAGGACCTCGAGCAACCTCCATTCCACCATCAGCAGCACCTTCCTGTCCAGCACACTTGAGGAGTTACCCAGCACCCTGAGAGCCTCTCCTGCCCACCCTCTCCTCCTCATTATGATTGAGGCCCCGGCCACACCCTCCCAGCTACTCCCTCTCTTCTACTCCTGACTCCTGGGACCCACCCTTCATACTACTGCTGAAGGGAATCTTCGCATCACGCCTATCTAACCATGTCTCCTGTGTACAACCTTTGAAGGACCCCCACCACCCTCTAAGGAGATGCTCCTTAGCATGGCATCTACTACCCTCATAGCACAGGCTCTTTGCCCTCTTCAACCTCACACCCTGAACAGCAGGATCCCCAGATCCCCGCCTCTGTATCCCCGCTGACTGTGCTTCTGATCCCTGTCCCCCCTACATAGAACCTGCGTTCCATTCCTCTGGGAACAGTCTAATGGCCCTCAGAACATGTTGGGGGCCCCTGCTCCTGGGAGCCTTTGCTGCCTCCTCACACCCCTTGTCCTGTTGAGCTGCCCTCTCTCTGGGCTTCTCCCAAGACCCTGCACATGCATCCCGCTGAACTGCAACGGCTCTTTCCTGGACACCGTCACAGACTGGATTCTCTATGGCAGTAGTTCTTACATAGCCAGTCTGGTTTCATCCCTTTCCATATTTAAGATAGTACCCATGGGGCGGCTGGGTGGCTCAGTCCCTAAGTGTCCGACTTCAGCTCAGCTCATGATCTCACAGTTCATGAATTCCAGCCCTGGTGAGGCTGTGTGCTGACAGCTCCCAGCCTGGAGCCTGAGTTGGATTCTGTATCTCCCTCTCTCTATGCCCCTCCCCCACGCACAATCTCTCTCTCTCTCTCTCTCTCTCCTCTCTCTCTCTCTCTGTCTCTCTCTCTCTCTCAAAAACAAATAAACATTTAAAAAATTGAGATCGTACCCATGAATAAAATACATTTTTATTTTATTCAGTCAGATTTAGCGTAGGACCTGTTCAGCACTGGGTGTCCCACGCCTAGCACAACGTCAGCCTGGCACACTGTGGACCACTTAAATGAATAAATGTTGAGTGGATGAATGATGAATGAATGATTTGCTCAAGCCCTCTCAGGACTAGGTGAGATGTTAGGGTCAGGGAACATCCTGGGTATAGGTGGAAAGTGAGTGGCACAACAGGCGCTCCGTCGGGAGGGGGCGCTGCAGGGTGGCAGGGTGAGCTGCAGGGTTGGGGGCGGGGGCGTCCGAGGCCAGCAAGGGGTCGGGCTTGCCCAGGGACCCTGCGCCAAGAGTCTGCATGCATTTCGCTTTCGCTTTGGGCCAGCCGGAGGCGGCGGGGCCGTCCCCTGAACGCCTGCGGCGGGGCACCCGTGGAGTTAATCCGAAAGCGCCGCAAACCCCGCGGGCCGAACTCCACGTGTCACCGAGAAGCTGATGTAGAGAGAGACAGAGAGAGAAAGCAAGCAAGAGACCAGAGTCCCGGGAAAGTCCTGCCGCGCCTCGGGGCAATTATAAAAATGTGATCCCCTGGGTCGGCCTCCCACCACCGCCCTCACCTGCTGCGTTCACCGTCCGGATCCAGCTCCAGCCCAGTGCGCGCCCAGTGCCCGCTCAGCATGTGCCCGCCGCGCGGTGAGTGACCAGCGGGACTGGGGGAGACTCGTCGCTGGGGTGGGGAGGGCGGCAGCCCGGGAAGACGAGGCAGAAATAGGGACCCGCTATGGGGAGACTGGCACGCAGTCAGCGGTCTCATGCAGAGATGAAGGAAAGCACGACTGCCTGCTTACCATGCACCAAATAGGATAGTGTCTCCTTATCTGCCCACTTCACAGATTTGAAACGGAGGCCACAGGTGCTACATTTCTCCCTCAGCGTCCCTCAGCTACCGTTAGAGGAGGGCCGATCCCAGCCAGCTTCAGAGTGAGGCTTTGTCACCTCCACTGTTTCCAAAACACTAGGCCAGGAGTCTGGGCCAATCACTTCACTGCCTGGACTCAGTTTCCCTGCTAGTGAAATAGAGCCTTTTTGTGTGTGTGAGCTGTGAATCCAACAGCCTTGTCTGAGCTCAACAGGGGGCCCTCACAGGGAATTGGCTTCAAGTCCAGAATAGGGCACTAGCTTCCAAGAACTTGATTCATCTCTCAGCTGTTAAAGGAAGATTGGAGATGGGGGAGGGAGGTTGATGCTGGTAAGGTGTGGATAGGTGGAGATGGCCAGAATGGATGGAAGGTAGAGGCAGGCCAAACCAAGCTGACCAGCTGAGCCTGCTCCTCGCTTGGTTTCCAGGCCTCCTAGCTGTAACCATCCTGGTCCTCCTAAACCACCTGGACCACCTCAGTTTGGCCAGAAACCTCCCCATAACCACACCAAGCCCAGGAATGTTCCAGTGCCTCAACCACTCCCAAAACCTGCTGAGAGCCATCAGCAACACGCTTCAGAAGGTGAGTTTTCCAGTGCTCTTGTGCCCACTTTGCAGCCTCTCTAGGGGCGGGGCTTCTCTGAACCCCGGGTCACCAGAAAGAACTGCAAAGAAATTGTGGACGTTACTCAGGAGCTGTCAAGAGGGGGAGAGGGAACTTTACGAAGGGCCCAACTATTAGCTAAAGAGTCTCAATGAAATTGTGTCTCCAGCGAAGGTGAGAGTGGTAATAAATTATAATGGCATTCATTTTGGCTATGTCTACACAGAGGAAAGTGGGTATTTACAGTGTTCCCTGTAGCCTGCCAACAGAGATGGAATTGTGTCAAGCCCACACTGTTTCTCTGACACACTTATCAATCCAGGAAACCATTATTAGGTGCAGCGTCTGTGCTCTAGGGCCTACAAAGATGAATTAGGCTTGCCCCTCACGCTGCTCGCCAGCTTCCAGTGTGGTGACCCAGTTTGTTGTCTGAGCAGCACATTATAGGGGGCCTGTGACAGAGCACGCCCAGCCTTCAATTTTCTGAGTTTTTATTTTAAACTTTTTAACGTTTGTTTATTCTTGAATAAGAGAGAGACAGAGTGTGAGCAGGGGAGGGGCAGAGAGCGAGGGAGACAGAGTCGGAAGCAGGCTCCAGGCTCCAAGCTGTCAGCACAGATCCCAGCATGGAGCTTGAACTCAGGAGTGGAGAGATCATGACCTGAGTGGAAGCCGGACACTTAACCGACTGAGCCACCCAGGTGTCCCCACCTTCATTTTCTAGGGAGAAACTTATCTAATATTAATTACAGCTTCATTCATTTTTTTGGGTTTCATATTTTAATGCAAAAAAAATTTTGGTTTCTGCTTAAAAGTGCTTCAATACCTATAGCTTTTGCTGGAACAACCCAAGACTGATGTTTTAAAAACTGTCCTTCTGCCTTCCTATTCTCTAGTAAATCTTCCCTGAATTTCTTGTTGTTTTATGAATATCTTAAAACAAGGTCAATGCCACAAGGCCTTAGAGAATTCTTTTCCTCTTCTAATCTTTCACAATGCGCTGCCAGTTGCTCCTCAGAGTTCAATCGATCTTAATTAAAAAGGGAACTCGGCAGTTGAAAACGGCAGGGAAATGTGCTTTAATTCCTGAAGAAAGGTTCACTGTGGATAAAATTTAGGAGCTGCAATTTCAGTAGATGCTTTGTGTGAAAAAGCTAACTCTTCTACTCCCCGGGACAGCACTCAAGGTCAAAGGATTGCAGAACTTAATTTGATATTTTTTAATATCACTCCTTCGTCCAATTTGCTAGAACACAGCAGCTGGCTACCGCAGAGAAAAGAGGTGGCGAGTGCATGCGATTCACAGCCCACAGATTTGTAGAGTTGTTCAGTAGCTTTTGTATTTGGTTTTGATTTGGAGCTTGATGCCATTGAAAAAGTGGACCTTCCATATAAGAATCCAAATTTCCGGCTTCTCTTGAAAAGCTCTGAAGAACTACAACAGAGGGCCTATATTTCCAAATCTAACTCTTTACCGCCTGCTCAGGAAGAGTGGCTGCCCATGTCAGTATGAACACCTCCAGGAAGAGTATATAGTTGCCTGTTGCTACTGTAACAGATCACCACAGGCTAAGTGATAACACAAATTAATAATCTTATGGCTCTGGAGTTCAGAGATGGGAAATGGGCTAAAATCCAAGTGTGTGCAGAGCTGTGTCCCTTTCTGGAGACTCTAGGAGAGAGTCCATTCCATTCTCTTGCCTTTTTCAGCTTCTAGAAGCAGCCCACATTCCTTGGTGTATGGCTCCCTTCCATCTTCAAAGCCAGTAATGGTCAATTAATTGAGTCGTCCTCATGTTCTATTACTCTGACGTTGACTCTCCCACTTCCTTCCATTTATAACAACCCAGCAATTATACTGGATTTGCCCAGATAATCTGAGATAACCTCCCAATTTAAGGTCAGCTGATTAGCAACCTTGATTTCATCACCAACCTTAATTCCCCTTGGCCGTGTAACATATTCTCTGGTTCCAGGGGTGGGGAAGTGGATGGTGGCCTGGGGTGGGGTGGGGGACGGGGCATTTTTTTGCCTATCACACACACAGATTTTATTACTTGTTTCCAAACACTTTCTGCATCTCAAGCCTTGAGGCTCCTGCTGTTCCCTCTGCCTGAAATTCTCTCTCAATTGCCTGTCAATCTTCTAATCCACTCAGTGCAGATGTCCCATCTCTGGCGAAGCCCTCATAATCCTTCTTGGCACTTCTCACCTGCTGACATGACTCCTAATCATTGGATGCTTTCCTGCCTCTGCAGCTGAACTTGGAGTCCTGAGGGGGCATAACATAACATAGGCCTGTTCTTTGTCATGTTTCTTAGTAAAGTGCCCCCTTACCCAAAGGGGATATGTTCCAAGACCCCCAGTGACCGTACTGAACCCTAATACTATGTTTTTTCCTATACACACATACCTATGATAAAGTGTGCCTAATTTGTAAATTAGGCACAGTAAGAGATTAGCAATGATAACTGATAATAAAATAGAACAATTACAACATATTATAATAAGTTGTGTCTAAGTGTCTTACTGTACTGTACTCACCCTTTTTACGATGAGGTGAGCTGAGAAAAGGCCTGTGCGATGAGATGAACTGAAGTGAATGGCAGGCACTGCGATACAGTGTTAGGCTACTGGTAACTTTCTGACTGTGTGTCGGAAGATCATCTTCTTCTGGACCACGGTTGCTGGCAGCCAGGTAACGGAAACAAGAAGCACAGCCACTGATAAGAGGGGGAACTACTTGCATACAATAGACTTGTTGAATGGAAAAATGATCTCAATCTTCAATCAAATTTACTGACTTCTTAGATAAGTTTCATAATTATATTCGACAGTGCTTTCCAACATGCTTGTAAGATGACATCTGTGTGTGTGTGTGTGTGTGTGTGTGTGTGTGTGTACCACAAATTAAATCTCCAGTTGTCTTTAGGGTTACATGTTTGTTATGTCCCTCAAGTTGTGACCTTACCAGTTCCGCCTTTACAAGTTATACTTGAAAAGGATATTCATGAAACACAGGTGCTTTGGCAAAAGGAAAAAAACTGTTTTCACAGAAGTAAGTGTCACAGTGGGGTATAGATGCTGCTTAGCACAGCCTGTTGAAATGATTTATAGTGTTTACATAATGGAAAAGCACATCATCCAGAGAAACATGTCCTAAGCAAAGGGAGAGGAGGGAGGGAGAGAATATGTAAATAACTGGCTGCCTTTTGTCGTCAGAAGATCCCAAATTTCCTGCAGGTCAAAGAGATGGATGTCAAGGGCATCCTTGCCTTGGGGCATTAGACTCCTAGGAAAGCAGGTGCCTTATTAATATTAGAAACTGGGTGACTCTTTTTTTTTTTTACAGGCCAGACAAACTCTAGAATTTTACTCCTGCACTTCTGAAGAGATGGATCATGAAGATATCACAAAAGATAAAACCAGCACGGTGGAGGCCTGCTTACCACTGGAATTAACCATGGTATTGATGATTTTCTTCTCAAAGCATGTAGTACAGTTAAGAGCTGTGCATCAGACCTCATCTTCTTCCCAAAAATGTGCATGTTTCTGGTCTCCATCATCATGAGACTTTAACAGGTCCCACTTCAGAAATTGGACTTGAAATATATATATATATATATATATATATATATAACAGATATGTTTTTTACAACGTGAGTATAATTAACACTATTGAACTGTACACTTAAGAATAGTTAAGGTGGTAAATTTTGTGTTATGTGGTTTTTACCACAATAAAAAAAAGATACATTTGAGAAGAAAAGTAAGGAAAATGTATATTAAGAATTAATATCTTTGACTTTTTTTCCTCTAGAATGAGAGTTGCCTGGCTTCCAGAGAGATCTCTCTGATAACTGTAAGTCAGAAAATCAAAGGTTTCAGCCCATATGATGAATTCATATCATTGATGTCTCGTTATCTTTTCTTCTAGAATGGGAGTTGCCTGGCCTCCAGAAAGACCTCTTTTATGACAGTAAGATACAAAACTCTTTCTTTCCTCAAATGCAACAGGGGTGGGAGGAGACATTTTTAGTCCATCTCAATGGTTCCTTCTCCATTTTGTCATATCACTTAGACCCTGTGCCTTAGCAGTATCTATGAGGACTTGAAGATCTATCAGATGGAGTTCAAGGCCATGAATGCAAAGCTTTTAATGGATCCTAAGAGGCAGATCTTTCTGGATCAAAACATGCTGACAGCTATTGATGAGCTGTTACAGGTAAGACCTTCATATTACCGGTAAGAGCACCTACTTCATGCAGAGACAGAGTGTCCCTATTGAAGTATAAAATGTCCCCTTCTTGGACTGGGAGAGGCCTGAAATCGCCCTTCCATACACCCTGCAGAGCCTCTTGACAAAGGGCAATGGTGAGCAGGTCACCATAAGAAAATCTAACTCCCACTTGTTGATCACATGGTATGTACCAGGCTCTCTGCAGATGTTTTCACATATTTTCTTATGTTTCCTCCCCAACAACCACATGGGGTATGTACAAAGGAGGAAACCAAAGTTTAGAGTTAGTCACTTGTTCAAGTGGCTTGTAAGTGGCAGAGCCAGGATTTAAATCCCCCACCAAAGGGATTCCACTACACTTATCTTCTCACTCTAAAGGCCCCTTGATGGGGGCACCTGGGTGGCTCAGTCAGTTGAGCATCTGACTTCAACTCAGGTCACGATCTCACGGTTCATGGGTTTGAGCCTTGTGTCGGGCTCTGTCCTGACAGCTCAGAGCCTGGAGCTGCTTCAGATTTTGCGTCTTCCACCCTCTCTGCCCCTGCCCTGCTCATGCTCTGTCTCTCCCTTTCTCAAAAAATAAATTAACATTAAAAATAATTTTTTAAGAGGCTCCACAATATGCATTGAGAGGCCAGCATGCATATCTGCTGTCAGATATATTGTCAGAGAAAACAACTGGGGCCCATTTTGAACTAAAATGTGCATTAAATAAAAGAATGACCTATCCCCTAACATCCACAATGTTACTCAGAGACAAGAACTTGCTTTGTAATTTTCTGAATCATCATAGCATGTGATGCTAATACAAAACATAGAAATAATTCACCTAAGCAAAAGCCGTGTGAATACCTTGGTGACCAGGGCATGGGATAAAAATAAGTATAATGTCAGAAATTATACTTATTGTATAATTTGTCTGAAAAAGAATTTATTCCCCTTTCTTTCCTTCTTTGTGCCAAATTACTGTTGGAAAGGCAGTGAACTTCATGCAAGCATCAAAGAATGTTACCATCTAGAGAGTTGTAGATGATATTTCATTTTCAGGTCCAGGAGTTTGGTGATTTGGGCACTGGAATCCATTCTCCCCAGAATCGGACAGCCATACCGAAACCATTCACCCACTCTGGGCTCAGTATTTTTCCTTGTAAAATGGGATGACATTACCCACCCTGCCTTTCTCTTGGGCTTTTTGCAGAGAATAAATGAAAGTATTGATCATTGCGCCAATATAAGATCTTGCATTGTATTAGCAAATTAATGGGCTTAAACTGAGAGATCCATCACCAAGTTTATTTACCTGTCACAAATGAGTGTCTGCAGCAAACAAGTCTGTTACTCATGGAGTTCCAATCAATAGCAATCCGTCACCTCTCTGTTCTAAAAAGGACTTAGCTTCTTAGTAGAACATATAAAAATTAATTAGATATTGCAGCAGATGTCATCTTAACAGAATTGTTCCCTTCTAAAATGCAACTCCCACTGATGATTTTCTAAATAGCTTTAAGGGTCTTTTCAGAGCTCACTGAAGATCCATGTGCTTGGGTAATGAGTATTTCTTCTCTCAGGTTCTGCCTGACCATCTGGCTGGGAGTAGATTTGGGTCGGGCTTAGGAGATGGAATGAGCGAGTGGGTTGCAGGCTCTGAGACACGTATTGGCTTCACCCATTTCTATGGATGAACGTTTTAATTTTGGAATACCAGATATGTCATCCTCAATATTTATTCCCCTAGGCCCTGAATGTCAACAGTGTGACTGTGCCACAAAATGCCTCCCTGGAAGAACCGGATTTTTACAAAACTAAAATCAAGCTCTGCATACTTCTTCATGCTTTCCGAATTCGTGCAGTGACCATCAATAGAATGATGAGCTATCTGAATTCTTCCTGAAAAGCTGAAGTCTCTCAAAACTTAAAGCCACTTATATAAAAATGTGAACCAAAAAAAAAATATATATATATTTCACAGGATGTGGGTTAAGAACCTACCAGGACCAGGTAGCCTTGACCTGGTCCTCCTGAAACGAGTACGATCATTCTCATGCTTGTTTACATTAGTTGTCACCCAGAATTTGAAAGATGTGACTGTTAGGTCCACATGATGCCTTTGACCAAGTATATTTCACATTTACTAGGGATAAGTTGTTTTTAAGTTTTCATGAGCAAATTGCTAAAGAGGGAAAATGTCCTCCCTTGAACATGTTTTTCTTTTCCCTTTAATAGAAGAGCAACAATTTATAAGCTATTTCTGTACCAAAGTGTTTGTAGACACAAACACTCAAGCATAATTTATTTTAAAATACTTATTTATATAATTTTGTGTTAATGAAAGCATGTGAACTAATTTATATTTATTTATGTTATATTTATTAAATTATTTATTATCCAGTGGATTTGAGAAATACCTTATATTCTAAAAATAAAATGATTGAATAAAGTAATTCTCATATTTTTCCAGCGTGTTGGAGTATTTTAATTAAGGGTTAAAATACACATTGTGGGAAAACTGAAAACTCCAATGAAATGTGAACAAAATTGCCTTGAAAAGAATGCCACAATATTCTTGCCCATATCCTAGTTTCTCTAATCTCTTATTTTATTTTTTTTCTAAGTTTATTAATTTATTTTGTGAGAGAGAGAGGGAGAGAGAATCCCAAGAAGGCTCTGCACTGACAGCAGGTCTCAATCCCAGGAACTGTGAGATCATGACCTGAGACAAAACCAAGAGTCAGACACTTAACTGACCGAGCCACCCTGGAGCCTCCCCTCACCCAATCTCTTATTTTAAAGGGAGACTCTTGGGCTGCTTGGGTGGCTTAGTCGGTTAAGCGTCCGACTTTCGCTTAGGTCATGATCTCGCGGTTCGTGGGTTCGAGCCCCGCGTCGGGCTCTGTGCTCACTGCCAGCTCAGAGCCTGGAGCCTGTTTCAGAGTCTGTTTCTCCCTCTCTCTCTGACCCTCCCCTGCTCACGCTGTCTCTCTCTCTCTCTCTCCTAGAAATAAATAAAAATATTTTAAAAAATTAAAATTTAAAAAATAAAGGGAGACTCTTAAGCCTCGATATGCTCTAATACTAAGACCATCAAATGAGTTCTGGTTTTTGAGAGTATATTTTGTTCAACATGTACATCTCAAAGTAAAATACATAAAAATATTTTTCCCTGTTAACCATAACATGCTGTGCATTAGACAAATACATAACAATATCCTCCAACTGTGAAAAACATCATTAAGAGTCCTTCTAGTTAAATTATTCTAATTTTTGTGACACTTTGGGCCCTCAGGGGAAGCTGTTTCTAAATTACAATGAGAAAAACTCTCCATTTGCTTTAAATTACATAGAACTTCTGCCTGAACCACAAGGATAATTGCCTCTCTTTGGCTTAAGAGATGTGCGCTTAATGACCCAAATATTAAATTCCATCTTTTTAGTTCTCTAAACCATGTGAATTTTAAAAGATTCACCTGGCAGAATACCATGTAATTTTAGCACTCTGATAATCATATTTCTCTTTAATATAATAAGACCATAGGAAAGGAACGGTTTGGTGAGCCCTGCCCCCTTCCTCATGTGACTCCTCCCCACCACATCCTAGCTGGTATGCCTGTGGACTAAGAGGGGATGTGTTTGGCCACCCCAGGTCCTCTGTGTGGCAAACTGATTCGTTTGTTCACATTCTCACCCCACTTGATACACAATTAACTAGAAATCATCAGAAACTAGATCCCAATACATAGCCTCTGTTCTTTAGGGATTCTTCCACAAACTTGAATGACCTACAAGGGATTCACAGATAGGAGTTTCTTGCCTTTAAGTGTTGGGTCTGGGGTTTCAGCAGCTTTGATTATGGGAAGAAGAGCTCGAGGGCTTGATGGGGCTGGAATATAGACTTGCTGCCGTCCCTTACTTGGAATGGCAACTTGTCTACTTTCTGGACAGTTGTCTGTGCCCAGAAATGAGACCCAAGCAGATCGTCCATCTATGGACAGGATTAGTGCAGAAGAAAACAGGTATTACTTTCATTCGTTTTTAAATTTTTATTTATTTTAGAGAGAGAGTGTGAATGGGGGAAAGCGGCAGAGAGAGAGGGAAAAAAGAGAAAAAATCTTAAGCCATCTCCACCCAGCATGGAGCCCAACTCAGGGCTTGATCCCATGACCCTGGGATCATGACCTGAGCTGAAATCAAAAGTTGGACACTCAACCGAGTCCTACTTGGGTTCTAGAAATTACCATGACATATGCTTCAAAAACATGACTGGCCCTCGGGGCACCTGGGAAGCTCAGTTGGTTAAGCGTCCAACTATAGCTCCAGTCATGATCTCACGTTTCATGAGTTCGACCCCCACGTTGGGCTCCGTGCTGACAGCTCAGAGCCCTGGGGCCTGCTTCGGACTCTCTGTCTCCCTCTCTCTGTTCCTCCCCCACCTGTACTCTTTCTCTCTCATAAATAAATAAGTAAACATTAAAAAACAAAACATGACTAGCCCAAAAAACCCCTTCATTACTAATTACATGGTTAGTTTCCCTCTTTTAAGTCTGGGCCTACAATTTACAAGTTGTATAACATGACCAAATTGTTTTGACCTCTCCTGTTTCCTCTTCTACGAAGTGAAGATGATGCTAGGACCCACCTCAGAGGATCAAAGTGAGAGTTACATGGAACAGCTCATGCAAAGCACTCCACCTGGCACATAATATATACACCATATGTGTGAGCCACTTTTGAAAATTATTAGTCTTTGGGCTTGGTGATGGGGCCCAATTGGTTAAACCCTCTTTTGCTACTGTTTTATCTGTGAAATTCAGAAAACAGTAGCCCCTATTGTAGTGCTGTTGTGAGGACTGCATGGCACAGGATAGTGCTGCGTCTAGTCACTGCTCACTGTCAATTTTTTCAAAGTGTTTAGGTTGTTGAAAGATTTCAGTGATGCCCTGTCCCTGCGCAGCAGGTCACAGGTACGGTCAGGTGTCTGGTGCAAGTCCCTGCCTTCACACCACAAAGGCTGGGGAGCAAAGTAACCCAGTAAGACTGAGGTTCCCCACCCAAAAATACTTTCCGGTCCTAGAGTCTGTAAGAGAGTCATTTGATTAACAAATTATTTTTAAAAGAAAATAAACGGTGAAAGTGTTTCTCACACCTGAGGGTGACTCAATCAGTGAATGAACACCACCAACAGCTGACAGCTGTCCCACTGAGGGCCCAGAGCTTTGAGATAAGGGAACAGTTCTGGGGAGCGGTCTGGCCAGACACCCAAGGAGGGGTACTGGACAACTCAAGAGATGCAAAAGCACCTTAGATACCCTAATGAGGAAGGAAAACAGAGGGACAGAAAGGGAAGGAAAAACTGCTTTGTCTGGGGCCCAGCACTGCAGAAATGGCGAGTCCTCTTGGCCGTATCACCCTGAACCGTTGAGGCGCTGTCTTTGTTGAAGACAACATACGGTTCTAGCTAGCATAATGTGCCTTCCTGGTTTAAGGCAAAATACAATATTACCACAGACTGAATGTGTCCCCTTAAAAATCCTATGTTGGAGGCCTGCTCCCCCAGGCAATGGTACTTAGAGATGAGGCATTAGGAGGTGAATTAGGTCATGAGCATGGAGCCCTGATTAGTGGGACTAGTGCCTTTGTAAGAAGAGACTGGGAGAGGGGTGCCTGGATGGTTCAGTCGGTTAAGCATCCGACTCTTGCTTTCGGCTGAGGTAATGGTCTCATGGTTTATGGGATCAAGCCTCACGTGAGGCTCTATGCTAACAGCAGGGAAACTTCCTTGGGATTCTCTCTCCCTGTCTCTGCCCCTTCCCCCCTTGCGTGTACATGTGCTCTCTCTCTCTAAATCAATCAATAAAAATTTTTTTTAATTAAAGGAAAAAAGAGACTGGGAGAGACCCTCTGACCCCCACATGAGGACACAGTGACAAGCGGCTGTGTACAAGCCAGGATGAGAGCCCTCACCAGAAACCAAATCTGCTAGCATTCTGATCTCAAACTTCCCAGCCTCTGGAACTGTGAGAAATGAATGTCTGTTGTTTAAGCCACTCAGTCTGTGGTATTTTGGTGTAACAGTCTGAGCTGACCAAGAAATCTATTTTAAATAAAGTCCAACCACGTTTTCAAAAATTGATTTATATCCGTTTTTTTTGGTTGAAATGTATTTGGTGAGAACAAGTCAAAAACTTTAGTTGTATTTATGTATCTTTCAATATGACATTAAAAATGTAAATGTGGAAAGGCATATGGTTAGTTCAGTCAGTAGAGCATGCAACTCTTGAACTCAGGGTCCTAAGTTCAAGCCCCATTTTGGGCGTTGAGCTTACTTAAATATATGAATGTGAATTAGAACATCAGTATAACGTCAGAGCCAATATATTTATGTAACCTTGTTTAGAAGCAATATTAACTTATGCTTACTGGGTGCTAACTAAATGCCAGGTATGTTTCTAAGTGTTTACCACAAAATGCATAAAATCCTCCCAATAATCCTAAAAGGAGCAACAATTATCTTCCCCCCAACCCTTTTTTTTTTTTAAGTTTATTTATTTTGAGAGAGAAAGTGCAAGCAAGGAAAGGGCAGAGAGAGAGAGAGGAAGAGAGAGAGAACGCCAAGCAGGCTTCACGTTGCCAGCACAGAGCCGGACTCAGGGCTCAAACTCACAAACCATGCAATCATGACCTGAGCCGAAGACAGACACTTAACTGACTGAGCCACCAGGGCACCCCTACTTTCTGCTTTTTATAGATGAAGAATCTAAGGTAAGAAACCATATAATCTTGCATGATGAGTAAGTGACAGGTGTTGTGATTTAACTCCAGGTGGCCTGGTTCCAGCCTGTGCAACCACTGCAGACTTCTGCCTTTGGTATTAAGGGCCCAGTGAGTCAAGGGACATCGTTGTCATAACCATACAAACATCGTCAGGGTTATTTATACATCTTCACTTCCCCTCACTATACCATGAGAACCTCAAGTATGGGAAATGTCATGTTACTCATGTCTATGTGTCCTCAGGCCCAGGCACTTAAAAGTGGTAGAAAGTGAGAGAATGGCCAATCTTCATGGGTTCCCATATGTTTCTCATTTCTTTTTCTAATCGAGGAATAAAGAGAAAATCTTCAGTCTTTAAAAATCATAGCATTCCCCAATTACCAAAAAAAAGGTTTTTTTAATTGTAAAATGCATATGCTTGCTTGGTTCAAAACACTTATACATGCTCACAATGGGGAAAAATCCAAAATTCATAAGCCTGTTGATTTATGTAATTCGCGTTATCTACG